TCTGCCCTTCCTCAGTGTAAATTAATATCGGCTGCTTCAGTCTAACATCTAAATTATCAGGATGATGAAGATGAAGCCAAAGTGGAAATTTCAGCAGGACAATGATCCAAAACACAGCCAAGGAAACTCTCAAATGCTTTCAGAGAAAGAAAATCAAGCTGTAGAATGGTCCAGTCATTCACCTGACTTAAATCTGATAGAAAATACAAAATAAGCATCAGATTTATTTTAACAGACGCTCTGTTGAAGTCTGTGAAAAACTCTCATGCCTTTAAACGCCTTCACCAAAAAGCCTTTAATATAAAGTATTAATTACATTTTAGTAGTTCAGTTCTTTCTCCTTGTGTCATTCCTTTGTTATTACACACAACAAATTTTTCAGATTTTTGTTGTTTTGTTTTATTTTTATGTTTCTATTGCTTGGGATTTTACCAAAATCTGGTTTAATTCCATTACAACAGCTTCTTTGAAATTATTATTACCAGGAAAAAAAATGTGACGTGTTCAATACTTATTTTCCCTGCTGTAAGTTGAGATGACTAGAAAAGTTCATTTGATTTAAAAAAGTAAATAAATCTATCAAAAAGCATTTACAGTGTACTTTTAGAAAATAGAGAACCATATTAACTCCATACCCATTTTTTGTGCCCAAGAGGAAAGCATATGAAGTGGTTGTGCAATTTCTGCAACTGTCTGTCTGTGTGTGTGTCATTGATGGAGGTGTTTTGATGGGGTTGTCCTCTCATGCATGGCCGCGGGCTGTGGCTGTCTGTCTCATACTGTGCCTGTGATTAAATATGAGACAGGACGGACTGTATCGACCCCCTTCCCGAACACACACCAACACACACCCTACTCAATGACAGATAGTGACGCGGATAATGATAATGCCTGCTGATGATAAAGGGGACGAATGGCTCCATTAGCCAGACAGAGGTCAAGGACGAGTTGCTCTCTAATAAGCATAGAAAATGATATAAGTTTTCTTTTTTGACAAGTGTCGTTCATCTCATCCTGACGGAGAGCTGTGTGGATTGACAGAATCCATTACATCTGACTTATTCATGTCCGTGAGTGTATGAGGAACTTTTTGTCACAAAATGACGTGTATGGATATAATAAAGTCTACATTGTAAAAACAAAAAAAGCTTGCTAAATGTTTTTTTAAAGCAAAATTGATTTAAACCATTTTTTAAAGATTATTTTACTTCGCCCATTGACATATTGTTTGGCTTTTTAAGGAAAAATCCACTTACTTTTTCAATTTTTTCTAAAAATCAAACTATATTTTTACTTGTCTATAAAATGCTTCTTGATTTCAGATTTTTTTTGATGTTTGGGTTAGAAACAAGACCAAGACTATTTTGTATTTTTGTTGTTTTTGTATGAACTACCCCTTTATATATTGAATATAGCTAATTTTAGGTATATTAGAAATGTAGTTTATTAGTTTATTAAATCAAATAAGGCTGCAAAAATGTATTTAAATTCTATAATCCTCTGTCATACGAATTGTTGTCTGATAAGTTGGTCTAAACAACCCCTTAAAATTTTAGATGCATTTTTTAGATGGCAAACAGAGTGACTCTAGATCTGGGGTGTGTTTCTGAAAAGCATTGTTAGCCAACTTAAGTCGCAAGTTACAACGTTACAAACATAGTTTGTTGATTTGGCCTTTTCCAAATCCATCTTTACAACAAAGCTATGTTCTATTCCCAGCTATCCCCCCATGCCCTATTTGTTTATAACATTTAAACATTGGAAGTATTTAAATATATATATATATATATATTAAAGTCATCTATCTTAGGTATAATTTGCTTTCAAAGTATTTTTACAGTTCCATTTCAGTGATCTTCATGTTTACAATTTATCTCCCTTCGAAGTGCACTTTGAAAACATTAATGTCATTTGGAACACAGCCGTAGATCATGACGAAAGCAATAGGTGACCTATTATTTAAAAGAATTCATGTTATGTCTCCAAAGCTTGTGAAAACAAAAAAACATAGCATATGTTAATGCTTTTAATTTATAGTAAGTTATTTATTAAGTATCTGTACTGTATATGACATGGACCTGTTGGTTAGAACACTTCTTCAGTGGTTTGCATGTGTCAAATTGTAAAAGTCAATTTTAAAAAAAATAAAAAATAAGTAAACAAAATCCTACTTAATAATAATCATCTTCATCATCATCAGTAATATTATTATTGTTATTATTATTATTATTATTAAAGTATGATTTTTTTCATTTCCTAATAAACAAAAAATATTAATTTTCATTTCTTAATAAATAGCCTTATTATTTATTTATTTATTTATTTATTTATATGACTTATATATGATATTATAGTGCATGTTTTAGAGTACACTTTTGTTCGTGTTTTTATGTTTTAGAATAGAATATGTAATGTTCTCAATAATATTTTTAAAGGAAACATAGGAACCATTTCCATATATTTTAATTAATCTGGAAAGCGAGTGCATGTTTTTACCAAAACTAATATTGGATTTTTTTTTAATGCGTGTACATGTTAAACAATATAAATTGGAATGGTAATTCTCTGAATAAGTTGTTACCACCCCGTTTAGAGCAACATTGTGGATGTTTTACGTTTTAACTAACGTGGATCTGCAACAGAGAAACTGGGTTTTGGGAAACACTCGTCACTACATCGTTCTTTTCCCAAACGATGCATCGTACTATGACAGTTCAGCTGTGAGCTACATTGTTGTTTGGGTAACGCACCTCTGATTGTATTATTACATTAAGAAAACCATTCTTTGTTCAAGCTTGTTTTTTTTTTTTTAAAGCAAAGAATGAGTATTTATGTATAGTTTAAAGAAATGGCTTCTCAATAATCATCATTGTGAACACTAGGCTTTTTGATGTTGTTGTTGTGGTTGTTCTCTGTTGTTTATTTGAGTATTGTTTTTATTTTGAATTTGTATTTGTATTGTATACTATAGGCCTTTAACATCTGGCAAAGGCACCGCCAATGAAAACTTTGGTCTTTGGACTAATTTGGGTACATTTACGTTCTTGGTGAACACTTATTAATGTACACGGTCCCTTTGTTGTGGAAAAATAAATAAACTTTAACTTCAACTTTAAGCACTGTAAAACATCATTACTTTTTAGCAGGAGAATATTAACTGGAGGGCTTCTTAAATGTCCAGTTATTATACTGAATAATTTGAAGTGCAACATTTTTATTTTGATAAGATCTTGAAAAGATTGTAGGGCTGGGATATAGTAATAAAAATCATAAACTATTATTTATATATTATTTAAATATATCTTTTGCGGTATAAAGTATTGCTTATGCTTGTATTTGCTCTGAAATGTCTTTCGATGATCATATATGAACAGTTCAGATGCAAAAACCTCCAAGTGCAACCTGTTTTTTTTTTTTTTTTTAATAAACATTTTTCTTAGGCTCATAAGTTTTTGTTTAGATTAAAGGGCAATGAAAACAACCTATTCATCGCTATAAATGTGAAATGCCTGAAACTACACACAGGAGCCTGGAAAAATGCTGATTTTCACACTTCCTATTTAGTTAGTTAGTTAGTTAGTTAGTTAGTTAGTTAGTTAGTTAGTTAGTTAGTTACCAGTCTTTTGTAGCTTATTAAAATTTTGTAGCTTATTAAATTCGAAAAAAGTTTTGCTTTCATTTCAAATATTGTGGTTAACAGTAGAGAGCTGCACGTGAAGTTTTAACTAAATGTTCAAATTAATTAAAAAAAATCGAATAATTGCTGAAACATGATACTAACAATTTGCAACATATGAAATTCTTTGAGTAACATGCTATCGCCCATGCCAATAGCCTAGTGGTAAGTGAGTCGACATATAACACCCAGGTACTCGCGGCGACCCCAGTTCGATTCCCGGCTCGAGGTCCTTTGCCGATCCTCCCCCTGTCTCTGCTCCTCACACTTTTCTGTTTGTAAAACTCCACTGTCCTATCGATAAAGGTGAAAACCCCTAAATATATATATATATATATATATATATATATATATATATATATATATATATATATATATATATATATATATATATATATATATATATATATATATATATATATATATATATATATATATATATATATATATATATAAAAGATACGTGCTATCAACTTGATATCAATTGATATTTATTCATTGGGATAAACCCCTTGAGATGTACCATTTCAAAAAACATGACATAACATATATATATATATATATATATGAAAAATTATTTAGTAATTAGTAAGTAATTATTTGTAGGAACATGTAAGCAACTTGTTATGAAGGACGTCCAGCGTTCTTCAGCCTCTGGTGCATAGACTGCAGCTTTGCATAGGAAGTTTGGTCAGAGGAGAAATGGAGGGTTTTTATCCTTCACTTTCATTAATTGGTGAAGTCTGTTCCTCACCACTGTCGTCACGGCTTACTTGGATTGGGACTTGTGGAGCTGTGCATCAATGGATTTCCTCTTTAGTGTTTGGACTTTTAGCAGTGAAAATAAACCACACTGAACTGAACTAAACTGAACTTCAACTCTGAAAACTGGACTGACACGGTTTCAATTTACTAGAACTTCTGTTAAGCTGCTTTGACAATATCTACATTGTAAAATCACATAAGATGAATTGAATTATTCTTACTAGATCTCCCTCCGCAACTATGCACATTTTTTCTGCCAACTGATGTGGTGATTTATCAGCATTTTGGACATGGTGTAAATTTGCCGTTAGATAATAACAGGTCTGTTTTTTTTTTATAAACGGCAACATATATTATCACAGCAAATGAACAATGAGCACATGTGCATCCTCCATCTTTTATAAATGTGTGTCTTTCCTCCCTCTCTCGTGTCTGTGAAACAGTTTCTTTGTTGTCCCTGTTTAATTATGCATGCGTGCTTTAAAGCGCTCAGCCCCTCTGTCATTCATCACTTATATTACCTGAGGTTGAATCTGACCCCGCCCCTCTCCCATTTCAGGACAGCGACCTCCTGACCTTCAACATCTCTGCGCATCACTCCTGGTGGAGCGAGCATGGGCCGGGCTGCATCCGAAGAGAGATCCCAGCCAGTGGAGAGCGCGAAGCTGACACACAGTCCTACATCTCCATCATGGGCTGCCTGCTGGAGTACCAGTACATAGAAGTGCTGCACAGCGGCTGCCAGATCCTCATCTCTGTAAGTCACAAATGAAACGCACAGTGCCTCATTCGTTTTGCATTTACAATTCAAAGCAAAACTTCATCCCTCCCACAAATTGAATAAGAAGAAAAACAAACACAGATCAATTAAACTTCAGTCAAAAAATACATTGCAGAGTTACATTTAGGCTCCATTTCTACTGCCAGTTAAATGTGACCCAATTCAGATTGGATCTGTTTTATGACTGTGTAAGCATGAAAAAAAAAAAACATGCATTCGTATATTCAAAGATCGGTTTCAGGCCCCCTTCATTTGTGGAAATAAATCCGATATAATTTGGATATGTGACAATGTCATTATCATGTAAACAGGCAGATCAGATCTATTGAGGCATTTTGTTTTGTACGTAATTAAACTTGCAACAATGTGGTACTTCTCCATAGTTTAATGATGTAGAAGGAAGAGCGTGTGTGGAGACGCCGAAGCAGTAAACAACAACAACACAGTTAACATAGAGGAGGAAAGTGGTCAGTCGCCACAATTTGCTCCCACCAGACCTGAGACCTCTCCTACCCACAAATCCTTCTGAATGGTGTAGGACACCATATATAAGCCATAAGCGCAAGCTGCGATGTTTTCCCTTTCCCTCCGTCTCAAAGTTATTTTAAAGTTAGGGGAACTTCGCATATTTTGCAGAGCTAAAAGCAAGACAATTTCTTCTATGGCTAGTGTGGCACAGATGCTAGAACCCTCCTTTATGTATGTATGGCGTCGAAAATTGTATGGCAAATGTAAACACATAAATCAGACATGAGTCACAATTGAAAAAAAAAACATGTAAATGGAAAGGCCAAAAAAAAAACTGATATAGGCAACAAATCAGAATTGGGCGTCAAGACCTGACAGTGTAAACTTGACCTTAGTCAATGGTTTTGTCCAAAGCGACTTACAGATGAGTAGGCAATCAGAGATTCAACAAGAAGAGGCAATACACTCAAGAAGGTCTAATTATACAAAGGAACTGTTAGTGCTCACAGAATTAAGTGCTAGAGTAAGGAGGGGTTTTTTTGTAGATGGAGAAGAGAGTTTCTACAGGTGGTTTGTCAGATCCACTCACCTATGCGAAGCACAGTTCATAAATGCAGTGATTTTTGTAAGAATATAGAGTGATTGTAAGAAAGTGTCTGATGCAAATGTGCAAAACTGGTGCAAGTGTCAGTTAAAGTGTGAGAGAGATAAGAGTTTGTCAAGTCCACTTACACCTGTGTGAAGCAAACTTCATAAATGCTGTAATTCATGAATTTTTACTTTTATTTTAATCACATTTTTTAGATATATGGAGTGATTGTAAGAGAGAATCTGGTGCAAAACCAATACAAGTGTCGGTTAGTGTCAGCAAGGTGATAGGAGTGTGTTTTAAAATTGTGTTTATACTGTATGTGATGATTTGATTGCAAGTACATGGTGCAAAAACACCTTAGAAAAGTATGTCACAGTCATACTCAATAAGCAATTACTCTGTACTCCAAAAGTCCTGTTCGTACTATAGTTTGTGGTCTTAAGATGCTCTATTTACATTTACTATATGCGTATGTCTGCATAACAAGCTATAATACACATTTTTCCAGAAACACTTCCATCCTAAAGGTGCTTTTTCATTACCATAGGAAATCATTGCCTGTATTTTTTTTTTACCAGTCCTTAAAAACCACAGCCCTGTAAAAGTGTCTCCTGCATGCAGTGTTCATGTGTGGGTCCTGAACCTTTGCTGGTTTGCTGATTGGCCCCTTGAGTTTGAGGTCTGGCACAGATCCAGGTTTAGTTTGGAAAACTCACTAGATTATAATCAGTAGGCAGAAGGACTGTGAGCTTATTTTCAAAACAAGGATTGCTTTTGTTGACTTTAAATGTGCTGTGGACAGAGCTCTTTTGAAATGTTTAAACTCTTAAAGCATGCTTATGATTGAATGTACAACAATTGTACTTATGCTGCTGTATTTCTAATTCATGTTTTGCAGTAATTCGAATTTATTTATACATGTATGTCTATGTATATGTATGTACAAGCAGTTATCAAAATATCTATCATTGTGGAGTATCTATCTCAAGTAAAAACACTCGGTTATGCTTTACAGTAAATCTAATTAAACCAGTAAGAAAGCGAACATTTTTTTAATGAATTTTAACTCTGCCCCTTTTATGAAAATCATAGTAATAATATGGAGGAATGAAATATTGGTGTTGACTTTCATTAGACAATATACAGTATCTAATGCAAAAAATAAATAAATAAATACAATAAAGTTGTTAGACTTCTGTAACTCAGAAGACCACAATAAGCTATTTTAGATATTTGAAGCATGCATATTAAAGATATTATATCATTAGGGATTTATGGTCAGCTTAAGTTCTAAAGAACCCTTTTAAAGGTAAACCCCTATTAAAGCACTAATTTAGAAAGTATTACAAATCTTGTTTTGTTTTGCTGATTTTTACAGCCTATTTAAACTTTAAAGTTCATATTATGGCATTACTTAATTTTGAAAACTTGCAGGCCTATTGTAATAAAATAAAAAAAAGTATATTATAATCAAATATAAATTAATTGCCGGAAAATTAGATACTATTAGTAAATAATTAATAATAACGACAATAACAACAACAACAACAGCAATATATATATATATATATATATATATATATATATTTTTTTTTTTTTTTATATATACACACACACACACACACACACACGTATATACTGTACATACATATACATATAAATACATATACATATACAGTTGAAGTCAGAATTATTAACCCCCCTGAATTATTTGCCACCCTGTTTAATTTTTTCCCCAATTTCTGTTTAAAGGAGAGCTGATTTTTTCAACACATTCTAAACATAATAGTTTAAATAACTTATTTCTAATTACTGATTTAGTTTGTCTTTGCCATGATGACACTAAATAATATTTGACTAGATATTTTTCAAGACACTTTGTACAGCTTAAAGTGACCTTAAAGGCTTAACTTACCTAGGTTAATTAGGTTAACTAGGCAGGTTAGGGACAAAATTATTAGCCCCCTTAAGCTATTTTTTTTTGATTTTCTACAGAACAAACCATCATTATACAATAACTTGCTTAATTACCCTAACCTTCTTAGTTAACCTAATTAACCTAGTTAAGCCTTGAAATGTCACTTTAAGCTGTATATAAGTGTCTTGGAAAATATCTAGTCAAATATAATTTACTGTCATCATGGCAAAGGTAAAATAAATCGCAGAATGTGTTCTTAGTCCAGCCCTGAGTGTAACAGCTCCTATAGGGGAGGCGGGTGTATGACATATGATTGGTCAAATTTGTATAAACAACCTAAATGTAATTTATTGCACCTCTCTGTGATACGAATTATATATACTATTATTACGATAAAAATAATTGTTCACTATATTGTGCAGCCTTGTCAGAGACTATAGAGATATATTTAATATTTTTGAAATGGGTCATTGTGTGAAATAGTTGTGCTGCAGTAAACAGAGGTGATGTCACACTTCTGAGAGTTTCACCTCAAGCACAGGTAAAGAACAGTGACACACACACACACACACACATACACATTATGAAAAGAGAAAAACTGAGCGAGCCATTAACTCACTCACAGACACCAGAGGCAGAGAGAGAAACACACCATCTGTTTCTGCCATCAGTGTAAGTCATGAGGGACACACACATACATGCACGCATACACACACCCCGCCCTTCACACACCACTGTATTTTATCCTCATTCAGGTGCATGACACATTATATTTGTATAATATATGATGTTAGGGTATTATTATTATCATTCATCTTATTATTAGTATTAATTATAATATTATTATTATACAAATTTTGACTTGATTTTAACCAGCAAGTTTTTTCCACCGGAAATGACACAGAATGATAGAAATGATCATTTTTTTCCCCAAAAGACAATAAGACGATGTACAAGAGGCATCACTGTGGAAAAAATATTTCTCCACTTTTATTTATATTTGACCTAAAATTGGCATGTCTAAAAATATTCATACCCTTCTCAATTATTAATAGAAATTTATATATATATATATATATATATATATATATATTAAGGGTGGAGCCGAACCCGAATACGGTATTCGGAAAGGCACGAATAGCGTGTTTTTACGAATACATATTTCGAACAAATACTTGAAAAATTATTTGTATTCGGGAGCAAGAAAAACACTATATCAAAAAGCAGCGTTTCCTCATGAGACCACAGTGCATGCCCGAGTGAGTGAGTGAGTGAGAGAGTGAGTGAGTGAGTGAGAGAGTGAGTGAGTGAGTGAGAGAGTGAGTGAGTGAGAGGGTGAGTGAGAGAGAGAGAGAGAGAGAGAGAGAGACACGCTCAGTCAGAAGTCGGAGGGCGCTTCTCCACAGCAACAGACAGAAGGCTCGGCTGAGCGAAAAAAATACTTCACTGCATCACTATTTTTGTTAAAATTGATTTTTATACCTTAATTGGGTTCCAGATGCAGTTTATAAACTTGAAGCGGAGTTTGATCGGGATATTCCATACGCTGCATTTTTGGCGTTTGCAATCGGGTGCTTTCTGTTTACACAACGTTAGCTCTGTTAGCGCGGTAATTTAGACAATAGACTGTTGACAGAGTAACGTTAACGTTCGTTTATAAAGGTTAAAACGATGCTTGTGTAGTTGTGTCGAATAGTATGCACTTATGGGAGTTATATGGTACGTCTAAATTACTGTCTTTTGCAGACAGCAAGATATATGCTATAGGCTAACGTTAGTTAACCTTAGCATAGCTTCCCGTCACTTTTTATTAACTTGAAACTCCTCAAATGAGTGAGACTGCAGCTGAGCCATTTCTTGGTCCTCCACCAGTCAAAAAAAAAATCAATTTATCCAGCATATGTTTTACACAGTGGTTGCCCTTCCTGCTGCTACCCAGCACTGGGAAACATCCATACACTCTCTTTCACACACATACAATAGGGACAATTTAGCTTA